ACATTTGTCTCCATAAGTCCAAAAGTTGACACCATAAGTCAGATTACATAGACATATTCTCTGTATATATAAAGAAAATCATCACTTTCTTGTCGTTACTCTTCTTCAGTGATAGAGCTCGGTGATGTTTCAAACTCTTAAACACTGCCACCAACTGTCAAGGATTATTACATCGCTAAAGGTTGTTTCACTGTGGAAGGGGTGTGTACAGCAGGGTGGCCAATGGGGTGGCCAAAGATTTGTCTGTGGTGGCCATGGTCACCCCTGGCCACCCCCTGGCTCCGCCCCTGGCTTCTGCCAACCCACACATCGAAAATACAGAAAAGGCTATATTTAAACAATTTTCCAATGTGCTAGAATTTTGAGTGGTTGTAGTGGATATTAATTCACAACACATCATATGTGTAACTCCTAACACAAGATCTTGTTTAAAATTGGTGTACTGACTGTCAGTGTCAACCCTGTGTCCTTAAATATCTCATGAACCACTGGTCAGATTTTTAATAAAACTTTCAGAAAGTAATATTTGCTGTGGTACAAGTGATTTCTTTGGAATCTAWAGCAACAAGGACTATTACTCAGTCAGTTTTATGGATATTGAACTAACCTTTTGTTTAGCTGAGATTAACATATTTAATCTTGAAATCCCATGATATTGCATGATGTAATGTAATTGTCAAGGTTTGACCAAAAAGCAGCATAATTTCTCAACACAAGATATTTTCAGTCTAAAAGATGAAAGGTGGTGAGTGATATGCATTTCTTCAAGGAATGCTTGGCTTTTATTATCTTAGCACTTTATGACCATGCTGAGGCTGAGGTGTAAAGCTATTCTTCTCTATTTATTGCCATGAAAAAAAAACATGTTCCAGTCAGAAAACGCAGAAACAGTCTCATATCATCTTGCCACAAAAATAATTTTAAAACCTGAACTGTGCCTCACAGTGCAGTCTGCTGTCTGTAGCTTTTTAATCATTTCAAAACATTTTTTAACAAATTGTGGCTATATAAAGAGCATCATAAGCACCAACTGCAAAAAAGGCACAAACAAAACAAGTGAAAGGATTTGGGAACATATTTGTCTGAACAAATTTTAAAAATTGTGTGATCATTGAAGGATTTTTCAATTCATGACGGCTCATTCATTTCCCTCTCATTCACCTTCAAAAATCAGCTGGTATTGTTTYCGTCTTTGATGCCAGCTGTGCGTCACTGTTTCCCCGACGTCTGACGCAAAACCTGAGAACCTTCATTAGTACACTGCAGCTTTACTTATCAACACCTAACAGAAAGACAAGGAAGGTGTTTATTGGCTTATATGTGTGTTTTCTGTTTTTCACTGATCAAAGCAAGTTGTCAGCTGAAACCCTCCCAAAAGACTATAAATGAAAGAAGTAGGATGCACATGTAAAATCAGAGATAAAAACAACAATAACTCTTGATACAAATGCTTGTTTCTGGGTAGTTTTAGCCTATTAAATTACACAAAATGTAATTTTATTTTAATTTATTAAAACAATACTTAAATTCWTATTAAATAATTTTATCTTATGTCTAAAGTCCACCATGCTTACTATAATACTTTTWTTTGCACATTTAGGCTTACATATCCAGTATTGTTTATTGCATAATGTAAA